TAGTAGTAGTAGTAGTAGTAGTGGTAGTGGTAGTGGTAGTGGTAGTGGTAGTGGTAGTGGTGGTAGTAGTAGTAGTAGTAGTAGTAGTAGCAGTAGTGGTCGTAGTCGCAGTCGCAGTCGCAGTAGTAGTAGTAGTAGTAGTAGTAGTAGTAGTAGTAGTAGTAGTAGTAGTAGTGGTAGTGGTAGTGGTAGTTGTAATAACAGTAGTAGGAGTGTTAGTAGCAGTAGTAGAAGTCGTCGTAGTAGTAGTAGTAGTAGTAGTAGTAGTAGTAGTAGTAGTAGTAGTAGTAGTCGTTGTAGCCGTAGTAGTAGTATGATGATGAGGAGGAGGAGGAGGGGGAGGGGGAGGAAGGCAAGCTAGGTGCGCTCGCGTCATATCTGACGTCCTACCCCTCCCTCCCATCCCTTACCATGGCGCTGATTTTCTCTATCCGCGGACGCGTGTCGTCGCGGACCTGTGGCTCCGCGCGCGCGTGCGTAGTGGGTGGTGGTGCGCGTGCGTGCGTGCGTGCGTGTGTGCGTGGTTGTGGTCGTGGTGGTGGTGGTGGTGGTGCTGCTGGTGCTGGTGCTGGTGCTGGTTCTGGTGCTGGTGGTGGTGGTGGTGGTGGTGGTGGTGCGGCGCGGTGGTGGCGGGCGGATGGGCGCGCGAGAAAGAGGCCCGCGCTGGGGCGAGAACGCCATCCTGAACGACGGAGGCCAAACACCGACCCGAAAATGAGGCCCACGTTGCAGCGGGAGCACGAGTCGGAACGATTCGGGAGCAAAAATGAGGCCGGCGCCTCAGCGAGAGCAGCATTTTGGAAAAATAACGAAGGCGAAAACTCGTTTCCCGGGAATCCTGTGTGTAAAAAAACAGTACGCGGAGGGTGTTCGGCGATCACCCAACCGCCATCAGGGGAAGAGGGAGAGTATTTTCATATTGAGTAATTGTGGAGAGGGAGGATGATGATCAGGAGAAGGAGAACGAGGAGGAAGAGGAGGAGGAGGAGAACGAGGAGGAGGAGGAGGAGGATGAGGGGGACGAGATGGAGGAGGAGGAGGAGGAGGAGGACGAGGACGAGGAGAACGTGGAAGAGAACGAGGAGGAGAACGAGGAGGAGGAGGGGTGAGGAGCAGGAGGAGCAGAAGGATGAGGAGAAGACCGGGGAGGAAAACGAGGAAAATGAGGAGGAGAGGGAGGAGGAGGAGGTGGAGGAGGAGGAGGAGGAGGAGGAGGAGGAGGATGGGGAACGTGGAGGAGACCGAGGAGGAGGAGGAGGCTTCCTCCGCTTCCACGTCCTCACCCCCACTCGGGCACCCTTCGCTTCGTTTTCCTCCTACTCCTCCTCCTCGTCCTCCTCCTCTTTCTCTTCCTGATCCACTTTTTCCGCTCGCATCATCGGGTGTGCTCGTTCTTTTTGGTCATTTCTGCAGCGCGAGGTGGCCTGCCTGCGGGTACCGTTTTTCTGCAATCTAATCAGCAGCGGCGGCAGCAGCGGCAACGGCATTAACACCAGCAGCACCATCATTGCGAACGGCATAGCAACACCAACAACGACACTGAGGCCCCGGCATCCGACAATGTGATATTTCCAGTCCGCGGCCCCATGGCGTGGGACGCATGCGGGCGGCGCCACTGGGGCCTTCAGTGGAGCTCCATATGGGGCCACGAAACGCCGTACTGGGTGGCGTGGGACGCATGCGGGCGGCGCATTGGGGCATTCGGTGGTGCTCCATAATTATGAGGCCACGAAACGCCGTACTGGGTGGCGTCGGACGCACGCGGGCGGCGCCATGAGGGCCTTCGGTGGAGCTCCATACGGTACCACGAAGCGCCATACTGGGAGGCGTGGGACGCATGCTTGCGGCGCCAGTTGGGCCTTCGGTGGAGCTCCATATGGGGCCACGATGCGCCGAACTAAGTGGCGTGGGACGCATGCTGGCGGTTCCAGTAGGGCCTTCGGTGGAGCTCCATACGGGGCCACGAATCGCCGTACCGGGTGGCGTGGGACGCATGTGAACACAGTCGTTGGGACTTCGGTGGAGTTTCAGATGGGGCCACGAAGCGCCGTATTGGGTGGCGTGGGACGCATGCGGGCGGCGCCACCAGGGCCTTCGGTGGAGTTGCATATGGGCCACGGAACGCCGTCCTGGGCCGTGTGGAACGCATACGGGCGGCGCCACTGGGACCTTCGGTGGAGCTCCAGATGGGGCAACGAAGCGCTGTACTGAGTGGCGTAGGACGCATGCGGGTGGCGCCAGTGGGGCCTTCAGTGGGACTCCAGATGGGCCACGGAACGCCGTCCTGGGCCGCGTAGGGACGCATGCGGGCGGCGCCGTTGGGGTCTTCGGCGGAGCTCCATATGGTGCCACCAAACGCCGTACTGGGTGGCGCGGGAAGCATGCGAGCGGCGCCACTGGGGCATCCGGTGGAGCTCCATAAAACGCAGTATCGGGTGGCGTGGGACGCTTGCGGGCGCCGCCATTGGGGCCTTCGGTGGAGCTCCATGTGGGGCCACGAAGCGCCACAGGGGCCCTCGGTGGAGCTCCATATGGGGCCACGATCCTCGTGAGGGGTGCGCCAAAATGGCAGCCACGCGGAGAGCAGAGGCAGGGATGGGAGTAAGGAGAAGGGAGGAGGGGGGAGGAGGGAGGAGCGGACGAAACGCGGAGTATTCTCTCTTCAAAACGAGGACCCAACACCACAGGATGTTTGGGGAAACAGCTGCAAATAGTGTCGTGCCCGCGCGCGCGTGGCGGTATGCGCGTGTGTACGTGGTGGCGTTATTTTGCAACGGACTCTTCAAACATGATCTTTTGAAATGAACGAATGTGCGCACATAGTACTATCTGACAGGGATTAGAGAGTTCGAAACCAGTTGGGCTACAGTGGTATCATCTGGTAGTTAGGATGGCCGGTCGTGCAGAAAACATGCGGACACCATATTAAAGAGGTACGGTTCAGTCTGGGCACGAGAGGATGGCACAGTCTACGTACCATTATCCTGAGAGGGGAGCCCATGTGGTACATGCAGTCGTTGGTGCAAGCTGCGTGTCTGCGGTGTAAGTTCTGCGGTGCAAGCTGCGCAGTGCGGGCTAAGTGGTGGACGCTTTGTGATGTGCGTTCTGTGCTGCAGGCATTGCGGTGCCAGCGATGGGGTGGGTGCAAGCTGCGTGGCACAAGTAGGGGGCCACGTGCGAACCCTACCCCCTACCCCCCACGATTCCTGAGGGGGGAGGGGGGGAGGGGGTCACTTCGCTCGGGAGCTCCCGAGCGAAATGAACCCCGGCCTCCCCCTCAGAAATCGTGGGGGGTATGGGGATAGGGTTCGCACGTGGCCCCCTCACGAGGCGCCCTTTTGTGGCCCCCTCACGTGGCCCCCTCACGTGGCCCCCTCACGTGGCCCCCTCACGAGGCGCGTGGCGCCCTCTTGTGGCGCAGGCCCCGTGCACGGGCCGGCAGGCGTCCGCGGACCGACCCCCCCGGGCGGCAGCGCCGCGGCACCCCCGCGCACCGCATGCGGCGCCCGGTGCGCCCACGGGGCGGCGACGGGCGGCACGCCGCCGCCCGATCCGGCACGCGGAGCGCCCGCCGGGCGCCGACGGGCGGCAGCGGGCGGCGGCTTCCCGAGGCCTCGGCGCACCCTGACGGGCGTGTTCGCCACCGCCACCACCAGGAGTTGGAGGGGGGGAGGAGGAGGAGGAGGAGGAGGACGACGAAGCAGAGGAGGAGGAGGAGGAGGAGGAGGAGGAGGAGGAGGAGGAGGAGGAGGGGAGAGAGGAGGAGGAGGAGGAGGAGGAGGAGGAGCGGCGTGCTTTCCACCACCACCGCCAGGAGTTGGAGGGGGGGAGGTGGAGGCGGAGGAGGAGGAGGAGGAGGAGGAGGAGGAGGAGGAGGAAAGGACAAAGCAGAGGAGGAGGAGGAGGAGGAGGAGGAGGAGGAGGAGGGCCCCCTCCCCCTCCAACTGGTGGTGGTGGTGGAAAACAGGCCCATCACACCCATCCACAGAAACAGCCCTGAAGTGAACAGCCTTGTGGTTCCCATACCCACGGTGCCAGTAACTCATGGCTCGGGGCAGCGCGGCGGCGAGGGCCCTTCGAGCTTCGAGGACTGCACGAGGAGGGGGCAGGGGCGAGTCAGGGCAAGCAGCAGGGGGGAGGGTGGTGGAGCGGGGAACTCCTTCGGCGGCGAACGAGGGGGGAAGTGAGCAGGAGAAGGCCTTCTTGCGCATTCCGAGAGGTTTGTTGTGTTTTCGGGGAAGGCTTAGGAAACTTCTTAGAAGGCCAGGGGACTTCCGAGCCTTCTGAGAAGGCCCGTCCCTTCTCACTTCCCCCCGGGCGCGCCGCCTACTCCCTCTTCCGCGTGTTTCTGCCGCGCCCTGCTTCGGCCAGGTGAGCTGGTTCGCGTTCTCGACGTCCCTCCTTGGCTTCGTCCTCTCGTTCGGCATCATCGCCCTGGTCCCATATGACGTCTGGGAGGCCAGGACGGATAGGGCCTCTCAGCAGACCGATCCCTGATTGTATTCAGCATTCGCGAGGTTGTTATGTAATTCAATCCTCTTGTTCATCGTCCTTTCCTTCTCCTTCTATGACCAGCGAGTGATGCCTATGTTTGATCGTGGTCGCACATGGGTGGGATCATCGTTGGCAGATGACAATATGGTCCTGACAATGTACACCCACCATGTCCTGTTGGAATGAGTACGATAGTCATGAAGGACACAGGATGAGGGAGGCGGGGATGAAGAGCAGCAGCAAGAACATCGCATCGGGATCTTGCCAGACACACCGATGCTCAAAGGAAGATTTATAGATGAGAGAGAGCGAGAGAGAGAGTCGGTCGATTGCAGGAGGGAGGACGGAGGAGGCAGGAGGATCGGATGGAGGAGTAGCAGGAGGAGCAGCCGCAGCAGCAGCGGGGGGAGCAGGATGAGCTGGGACATGGAAACAAAAGAAACAGGGCAGGGACGGCACGCCCGAGTTACCTTGTTCATGATAGCCAGGGGGCGGACGAGCCCAGAGGTTTGTGGAGTCAGACGCTAACTGCAAGCTAGCATGGCATGATTTTTTGTTTTGTGTGTGTGTGTGTGTGTTGGGGGGGGAGGGGGGAGGGGGGCGCGCGCTCTCGAGAACCGATGGCGGTATGGCAACGCATCCGCCAGTGGCGCGAGAGGACGGGGAGGGACGAGGGATCTCGCGGGCGAGTCCTGCAGCGGGGCAGGCTCTCGAGCTGGAAGATCCTCAGGGCAAGCAGCTCTCCGCGAGCTGGGAGCCCCTGCGCGAGCAAGCGTTAGCCGCTGCCGCTGTGCGCGCTGGCGTGTTGCAGAAGAACGCTCCCAGGAGGATGGGGAGGAGGAGGAGGAAGGTCGGAGGATACATTCTTATAATGATTCAGATAGATGAGGATGACGATGATGATGAGGATGATAATGATGATGCTGATGATGATGAGGATGAGGATGATGCTGATGATGATGCTGATGCTGATGCTGATGCTGATGCTGATGATGGTGATGGTGATGGTGATGAGTATGTTGATGATTATGATGATGATGGTGGTGATGATGCTGATGCTGATGCTGATGATGTTGACGATGCTGATGATGATGATGCTGATGACGATGATGATTATAATACTGATGATGCTGATGCTGCTGGTGATGATACTGATGGTGCTGGTGCTGAAGCTGAAGCTGATGATGATGATGAGGAGGAGGAGGAGAACAAGGAGTCGACAGAAAAGGACCTCCGCATTCTGCCTTGCCCGCCCGCCTTCGTACGCCTGTCACCGTCTTGCAGTGCCCTGCTCGACCCCTCCTCACCTCGCACTAGCCCACCCCCTCTTTTTTCCCTCCGCTCCCCCACAGACCCCTCCCACTTTCTTGTATTCTGCCCTCTGCTGCTCCATGGCTCCAGGAGCTCATCTACTGGGCCACTTTTCTGCTCTGCTGGGTGCTGTGTCCCCTCCTGATCGAGTACGAGGCCGTCGCGAGGAGGGGGATCAGGAGGGAAGTTGCGAGGAGGGAGGGGGAAGAAGGGAGAGAGGAAGGAGGGAGGGTAACACGAGGGAGGGAGCAGGAGTGATGGAGGACGAGGGCGGGATTGACGGCGGGAGGAAAAGCGGGAGGAAGGTATTAGCAAGGGTGGTTTAGGACAACGCAGCACACCATTTTGGGCCGCGCTTGAGATGGAGTTATTCATTGCAGGCATAGTGCAGTCGTTTGTCGAGTGATTTCCTGTGTGATTTGCAATCGACCATCTCGTTCTCATTGGGTACAGGCCTGGCGCCATGGAATCCGTACCTGCCACGCGCCAGCCGCATCCCGGTTTCTTTGGAAATCCCACCAGCGTTGAGGAGTTGCAATTTGCCGCCCGCCCCAGAGCCAGCATACGGGCCGTACCGTGCCGTGCAACGCGTGTTGTCAATTCGCCAGGCCTCCTTTCTGTCGTCCAGCCTCCAATATTGTAGCATTCCGCTGGCCCCTGGTGTGCCATCGCTGGCTCTTGCCTGCGCGTTCGTGGCCTCTTGGGGCATCTTGGGGGCCGTTTGGGGGCCTCTTGGGACCTCTTTTTGGGACTCTTGAGGCCTCCTGGGGGGCCTCCAAGGGGCCTCCTGGGCTCTCTCGGTGGCCTCTTGAGGCCTCCTGGTCCTGGGACGGAAGGCTCGAATTGGTTGTTCGTGTTCTCGCTCTTGGGCACCTCTTGGGACCGTCTTGGGGCTCTCTTGGGCGATCATGGGTGCCTCTGGGGCCGTTTTGGACCCTCTTAGATTGTTTTGGGGCCCTCCTAAGGGCCTCTCGGACCCTCTTTTGGGCGGTCTTGGGGGCCCCTGGGGCCATCTTGGAGCGTTGAAAGCCCGAAATCGCGAGAACGCGAAACACGTTGAAAAAACAAAAGGATTTGTGTTTCTTTTGGCTCCCTTTGGGGTCCTCTTGGAGCGCTCTTGGGGCTTCTTTTGGACCTCTTAGGCCGTCTTGGGGCCATCTTGGGCGTCTTGGAGCGCTCCGGGGCAGTGATTCCGATTCGTGGGCCCTCTTGGAGCTGCCTTGAGGTTCCTCGCCGCTCCTGGGGCTATCTGGAGGGCCCCGAACATCGCCCCCAGGAGTTCCGGCATCCGTGACGGGGACCGGCAGGGATTTCCGGCAGGTGCTGCTCGTCCGGGGCAGCCACGCGCGTTCCAACTAGAACTATTCTAAAGCTGTTACCGGAGATTTTAGCACGGCCCCGTTGGGCCGGCGAGTCGTTGGGAAGGCGTTGCGGCCGGTGCCGCCGACCTTGAAGGCGGAATGTCCCCCGGGACCCCCGCTGGCGCGCCCCCCTCTGGGACCCGCCGGAACCTCGGGGCGGTGGTGGTAATTTTTCTGACCCCAGGACTACCAGAGGCCAGCAACATATGTACACGTACGCGGTTAGTTTCCCCTGGAGTGCGTGTCAACGCGGACGTTCTTGCAGGTAACACCGCTGAGGGCGTACATGTACATATGTCGTTGCTCGCCCAACCTTCCCCCACCGCAGGCGAGACCCCTCCCAGGACCCTCCCCTTTCACCGGGGGCACTCCGCGTTGGGCTGGGTCAATATCTGGCAAACAAGACCGGGGCCCACGTGGCCAGAAATCTCCGGAAAATCACCGGGGGAATCTCCGGGCCACGACAAATCTGCGACGGAATCTCCGGAAAATCTCTGGCCCCCAGAATCTCCGGCGAAATCTCCGGGGGAATCTCCGGGAAATCTCCAGGCCCCGAAAATCTCCGGGGAAATCCCCGGGGCCCCGAAAATCTCCGGGAAATCACCAGAAAATCTCCGGGAAATCTCCGGACCCCGAAAATCTCCGGGAAATCTCCGGGGAATCTCCGGAAAATCTCCGGGAAATCTCTGGGAAATTTCAGACGAGATTTCGCGAAGGATTTCGCATGATTTTCCGGGGGGATTCAAGTGGCGAAGATTTTTTGGAGATTCCGTTTGAGATTCCAACATGCGAAGATTTTTTGAGATTTTATTTCCGGCGCAACATTGATTGAAGATCCGCGGGAAAATTTTTTGGAGATCCCAGATCGCCTCTTGGAGATTCTCGGGGGGTCTAGTTTGCCAGAATCGACCCAGCCCACTAGGCCTCCCTGCTGTCATGGGGGACGGGGGAGGGGAGGTGGGCCGCCGGGACCCCGAGGGGAGGGCCCGACGAGGGTTCGTCGGGCTGTCTGGTTATCACAGTGGGCCCATGCCAGGAAACACCTTGCTCGCCTCAAGGGTGCCCTGGGTGTCTTGGGTCTCGATGGTTTTGCGATGGAGAGCGTGACGTTCCCACACCAGAAATCAGTGGACGTCCTGGGGTTTCCAGGTTGGGTTTCTCGTGGAAGGTTCCTTGTGGCTCGGCCCCTACTGAATCTAGTTTCCCAGCCTGCAATGCCACCGCTGTGGGACGCCAGTGGCTCCGTGCGTTGTTGTTCGCGCTGCCGCCATGTCGGCTGCCTGGGCGCTCGGCCCTCGATTGGTTGTTCGGCCGCTTGGCCAACGCGCTGCTGCGGCCCGCTCCGTTCCAGGTCTCGGGATGAGCGTTGCGGGTGGCCATCACGCATCCACTTGGTTGGTGACGTCAGAGTCACAGAGCGGCTTTCGGCTGCAGAAACTGAAGGCTACTGGAATCGTCGACTGCGAGCGGCGCTCCCTGTGCCCCTGAGTGAAAGAATCCTCCTCCTCCTCACTCCTCCTCCTCCTCCTCCTCCTCCTTCTCCTCCTCCCCCTCCTCCTCCGTAGCCATTTTGGCTCAAGTCCGTAGCGTTGGCTCGGACTTGACATTTTGGCAGGAGGGATTCGACGGCCCTCACAGTTCCCGCACCTCCCCAGTGCCTGCCCAGGCTGGAGGTGCCGCTTTCTTCACCACGCTTGCTACGTTCGGGACCGTACCTCCCGATCTCCTTCTACTTTCTGTACGGCTGGCCCATGGGAACAGATGATTCTACTCCACCTTGGCGAGACTGGTCAGAGAACAAGAAGGCAGCGGTCGTCCGTCGCAAGCCGAAGCGTCCCCCTCCTTCTGGACCGACGTGGCGCTGCGGACATTGCGGCTGCTCTCGCAACGAGGAGCGGTGGCATTGGTGCAAACACTGCTACTCACCACGCACACCAGAGCCTGGGTGGACTTCTCCTGCCCAGTGGGGGCAGTCTTGGGGCGGACGGTCGTGGGCAGACTCGAAGGCACCGCCGAGCCAGCCCTTGGCAGTGGGGCTGCAAGCTGGTGGGCCTCATGCTGCTCCTCTTGCTCTGGCGTGGACCAGCCTGGACGGCCTGGACCGCACCGAGCTCGCCTCATTGCTCGCCATCGCCACCAAGACGGGCGACAAGAACCTCGCAAACCGTGTACAAGGCCGCATCACTACCCTGTCCAAGCCGACACAGCCTGTCGTGGAGAAGCCCATGGAGCAGCGATTGGCAGATTCTCGCAAGGAGCGGGATAAACTACTGCAGCGCCTCTCCCGCGAGCTCGACAAGCATGACAAGTGGCAGGAGCAGCTACGTGAACACGAGAACCACCTCTGTGAGCTTCGTGCCGAGCTGGAGATCATGGACGCCCAGCACGCGGAGCTGGCCAGCAAGCTGGCCAAAGTTCCTCCTGCCCAGACGGCTCCCAACAGGATCAGCCTCCAGGATTTGGTCTCTGGCAAAGTGGGCGCCCTGGACTTTGACTTGGGCCTCTTGGCCGAGATGCCTGAGGGACTGGAGCTCGATGCCGATGACAAGAAGCGCATCGAGGAGCGCACCGCGCAGCTTCGTGAGGCCTTGGCCTCCATGGCCAAGGACTTGTTCGCCACTGCCATGGAGGAGGCCAAGCGAGTGGTCGATGAGCACGAGGCGCAGAAGGCACGCATTATCGCCAAGAAGCGACGAGTGGCAGATGATGGACCTGAAGCGCAGGCCCGACCTGGAGCTGCCGTCAATGGAGAGCAACCAGCGGCTGCTGCAGAGTCTGGAGGTACTGCTGCCTCCCAAGGAGTGGCAACCGCTGCGACTGCAGTCCCCACCCAGCAGGAGCGCTTCGCCTCCGTCCGCGACCGTTTGGCCAAGCTTCAGCGGGGGGGCGTCGCGCAGGTCGCGCCTGGCGAGGGGTGAGATTTCGAGTGTCTCTCTAGGGGTCCTGCGTCTCATTTCACGGACCCCAGCGTTCCAGTGCTACCCAGGCTCAGACATTCCGTATGGATCACATATACTACAGCAAGCATGTGCTCCCATTGGTAGAGCTATGTCGTTTGATGAATTCTACAATGAAGTTACCAGCCTTGTGATCAAGGTTCGCAAACAGATGGGATGGTCTCAGCAGTCATCGCAGCCGATGGCCGATGTCACTCCGTCTACTTCTGCTCCATCAGCGTCAGCTACGTGGTCTGCCTCGGGCACCTCGACGGCAGCTTCGCGGGCAGGTTGCGCCTTGGGCGCAACCGGTGCTGATGGTCTCTCGCCCCCACTGGAGCCCGATGCAGTTCAAGGAAAACGTATGTCAGGACATCATGATACGGCCAAAGATTCACGTAACGCGGCATTCCTTTTTGGACGATCCCGTCTTGCAGCAGCGTGCTCCTTCGACTACCTTAGCCGAAGTTCGAGCTGCTAGATGCAAGGACGTGGGCGACTCCGACGTAGACCCCTTCGACACGCTGGACCAGCAGCTGGACTACGTTGCTCACTTACCAGTGGATTGGGAGTCTCATATAGGATGCAAGCCTGCGAAGCTCCCTTCCTCGTCGCCCCCCCCAGCTGGCGATCAGAATGCGTCTGGGCGTAAGCCTCAGGAGCCGGAAAGGGGCCTCGGGGCGCGACGTGGGAGGGTCCAGAGAGACCCTGAGGGCCCTGCCATGGGTAAACCAGGTTCACCACGCCAATCCTGGGGCTCCGAGTCTCGGGCGGCCTCTGATGAGGCTTCGGGTCCTGCGGCCCGTCTGCCAGGACAGACTGACCAGAATGAGCCAGCTGTGTCGCAGCATCGCCAGTC